CCTCGAGAAACTGCTGCGACTGTTGCGTCATCGCCGTTGTCGAGTCGTGCTGCGCTCCGGCGAGTCGAGTTACTCGCTCGAATTCGTTTCGCCACGCTTCGCGATCCGCTCGCATCTCCTCCTGAAGGGCTGCGATGCGCGCGAAGAGCTGCTGGGTAACCTCGGCGTTGTCGAAGGTTGCCATCCTGTTCAAAACACGCGCGGGGGGGGTGATTCGAAAAAACGCGGAGCTAGTGCTTACCAGAATCGGCGTCGAATTGGTCGCCCCCGGCGGTTTTTCGAGGCAGGTTTTCCCGCTGCTGCTGCTTTGTTGAGCGCGGCCGAGTGAGAAAAGCTCTGATTACCAAGTGTCACAGGATCGAATGTGTCGAGGAAAGATTGCACTATCGATCAGTACAAGGCGCTTTTATACTTCCAGAGTACATCAGGTAACCAGGTTTATCTTATCCTAAGGGAATAGACCTTTCTAGAAGATAGAATCACCCTGCGTATAGCCACGCGAGGCTATGGGCTTTAAGGGATTACAGCAGGATTACGCTAGATATAGCGTGCCAGTACATCCCAAGCCTGGTCGGTGATATAATTATAATAGCAGGATAAACCAAAGGTTAATGGAAAATGGAGAATAGGAAACCAAATGAGATGAGATAGAAAGAGAAATGAAAATAGGAAGGAAGTAGAAAAAAGGCCAAGTGGTGTAACGGGGTCGTACTCTCACAGGTGGCGACATTAAAAGATTGTTTTAATGCGTCGAACTCAGCTTGCTGCTTCTCCCCCCACTCGTAAAAAGTCCCCTTCTGTAGTAGGTCGGTTAGACGTCCAGTTGACCCCGCCATGTTGGGGATAAAGCGCTGCACGTAGTTCACAAAACCCAAAAAATATTGCAGTTGCTGCAAGTTTGTTGGCGGTTTCCACTCCTGAATAACCCATAGTTTTTTCGGGTCTATTTGAATCCCCTCTGTGGAGATCACGTGCCCCAGGAACTCCAGTTCTTGTTTTAAAAACTCGCACTTGGAGCCCTTTGTGATGAGACGATGTTGCTGTAGCCGCTGAAAAACAGCTTCCAGGTCCTTCAAATGTTGCTTCCGGGTCGTGCTGTAGATCAGGATGTGTTGTGTGATGTCATCATATGCTATCACATTCTGTCTGCCTCCCATCCCATGTTTTCAACTTGCATGTGTGGTTTGAACGTGTGCAAGAATTTGTGCGTTGTGTGATATGGAGTTTGGGAATGTGTTTTGTGTTATTTTGTTTGAGCAGGTATTTTGTGATGATAGATCTTGAGAAGATCTTTCCGACGCAACAAGAATCGCTTCAATCGCTTCGCAACAAGAACGCGAAAGCTATGAAGATTCAAAGTTCATGAGCTTGCGTTACAATTGCGGCGGTTACAAAGTGAAGTTGTGGGGTGACTCTATATGGAGTTGGGACCTTTGGGGTTGGGGAAATTTGTCACTCTACTGTAACAGTTGCAAATTGGTTGGGAACAACCAAGCTAGGTTGGCAAGGGTGGCCAACTTGGTTGGATTGGTTAGGAAGGGACAAATGTCAAAGTTGGGGTTCCTATAGGGAGTGAATCTTTATGCTTATGGGGTTTCCTTGGTTTGGGACTCTCTTGGGACCTTCCCTCTCATCTCTCTCTTCTATCCCAACCTTTCTCTTGCTCCTCTAATTTCTTGTGAGATTCTTGAACTTTGATTGAACTTTTGAGATTGAGTTAAGTTCTCCACCTACAGCTTACCCTCTAATGCGTCGAAAGCCATAGCGTCGCGAATACTTCATTAATCAACGTGATTCAAATTGGGAACGGTAACTGAGATTAAGAGCTACGATATATCCAAGTTTCGTGACATTCCAACGGCTAGTTTTTTGTCGACGTCGTTTCTTGTGAAGACGACTTTTCTGTCCAGAATTTCGGATTTATATTTTGAGTAATTCTAGCTCCTAAGTTCACCTAGACTCCGTCCTTAATCCTAACAGGATGTCGTCCAGGTAAATCATCACACATTTGTCGAGTAGATCGCGGAACACCCTGTTCATTGTGAGCTTGAACGTCGAGGGGGCGTTCGTTAATCCAAACGACATCACCGTGTATTCGTAACTCCCGTAGCGAGTACGAAACGCAGTCTTATGGCAGTCATCAGCGAACACCCGAATTTGATGGTAACCGCCACGAAGGTCGATCTTCGAAAAGTAACGAGCTCCGCGAAGGTTGTCAATCAGCTCGTCCGTGCGTGGGATTGGGTACCGCGATTTTATCGTTACGCGATTTTAGCGTTACCCGATTAAGGGCGCGATAATCCGTACACATGCGAAGTCGCCGTCCTTCTTTGGTGTGAACAGGATCGGTGCTGCGAACAGGGACGTGCTCTGCCGAATAAACCTTTTTGCCAACAAGTAGTCCAGCTGGTTTCGTAATTCGTGTAGCTCCGGCTGAGTCAGGCGCCATTGGGTTCGTACAGTAGGCTGCGCGCCGGGCTCCAGCTCAATTTTGTGGTCCTGGGGCCGTTCGGGTGGCAGTCCACTTGGCAAATCGTCCGGGAAAATTTCAGGATATTCCCGGATGTTTTTTTTCCAAGTCATCCAGGACCGAAGCGCAGAGTTTGTTGATGTCGGTCGCCTCGTTTTGCTCCGTTGATTCGGTTAGATGGACGACGTATAAATCCGCTCCATTCTTGACCGCTCGGTTGAGGCACACAGCGTTGACTCGTGTCGATGTTGTCTCTGCTTCCGGCCTCGTGGGTAATTTTCGCCAGCCTTTTTCACACTTCACTGTGCACTCGCTGTCCTCCAATCGATCTGCGGGTTGAATCGTCGCAGCCAATCGCGTCCCAACAATACATCGTAGCCGTCGAGTGTTGTCGCCAACATCGGCACGCTGAAGCCGAAATCTTCGCCACACTTCATTCGAACGACGGGTACTCTGTCGCGAATCGCCAGCGGGGTGCCATCCACCAGTCGCGCATCGATTTCGGGCAGACACCTCTCCAGCGATAAGTGTAGTCTTCGTGCTGTCTCTCGATTTATTAGGCTGTGACTCGCACCTCCGTCGATGAAATTTTTTTTTCTTCCATTGAGTCGTCCCTCCGCCAGTACAGGGTGGTCCACTGGGTCATCCCCCTTATTCAGCCGGGAGCGGTTGATAGCGTGTATCGGAACTACTACCCGGTGGGGATGGTGTTTTTCAGGCGATGAAGCAGGGTCAGTAGGGGGACCGACGGCTATTGACGCTTGGCGTTTCCCGACCTGCCTTCATCGTTCTTCTTTATCTGCTTCCTTCAGGGGCAATCGTGAGATTGGTGACCCGACTGGTGGCAGTTGAAACATTGCCCCTTGCAAAAATCTTCCATGTGCTCCCTCACCACTACGCCGTGAATCGTGGGCCGTGGATCCTGGCTGCGAAAACGATTTCCCTCCCGGGAACCCGCTCTCGCATACGTCCGATGTGCGTCGAAAGTGTCTGCGATCCGGACTACTTCGTGAAACGTCGCCGGAAGTCGCAGACGGACCTCGCATTTTATGTCCTGTTTCAAACCCGAAATGAATCGAGTTTTCTTCTCGGAGTCATGCATGTCGGTGATTTGATCGCATAACGCCATGAAGACCGACGCGTAATCTTGGACAGAACTCCACTGGCGCCAGTTGTCCAGCTTCGTACGTGCGTTGTCCGAGGCGGATATTGGCTCGAACCGTTCACGCAGAGCTGTACCCCACGCCTTCCATGTGCGAATCTTGGTCGATCCGAAAATCGCGGTTGACCCTTGGGCAGCAGACCCAAAGTTTCCCAAAAACCCCGGTGTGTCGCCTGCCGAAAACTCCCCCTCCTGTAGTGTATATCGCCACCAATCTAGCGCAGGTCCCCCCAGTAATAATACAGCCAGCCGTCTTTTTAAATCGTCAGTAGTGATCCCAGCGGCATTAAAATAAAGCTCCGCCAAAAATAACCAGCCCGTAACAGTAGTATTCTTATCTGTGGGGTTGAACGGGGGCGGCATTGTCGGTTTGATCGTCGCTGTCGTCATTATCGGCACGAATGCTGGTGCGGCTACAGTAGCGGCTGCTTCTTACCGGGTGGCTGCTACTGTTGTTGCTGCTGCTCGTGCGGCCACGTTAGCTGCTGCGGCGGCTTCGCTGTCCTTGCACTCCTGCGACACCTCATGTGCAATTTCGTCCAAAACGGTTTCGACACGTCTGGTGCTGGCGACCTCCTCTTGGGCGGCAGTTTTTTGGCGTGAATCCTCTCGCGCCTGGCGTATCTCGGCAACTTCTGCACGAAGCCGCTCGTTTTCCTCCAGCACTGTAGCCATGCGTGTGTTCATGGCGTTGAGCTGCTCCCGAAGCTCGTTGAACTGAGCTTGGTCCATTTGGCGTTATAATTTTTTAACCATCATTTGAAGTAAAACCCCCTTTTTATACCGATACCTCTATGCCATCCAAATTTGGGGCCCGATGGAGAAGGGAGGAGAGAGTTATGGCTGTTTGAATAATGTAATAGGGGCGATTCGTGCAAGGATAGTGGATTATAAAAGATAGCGCCATTAAGACAATATTGCGAATTTCCTACAGCGGATTGAAGTACGCGATGCATTTTCCATAAAGAGACCTCGCTGCCTTGCGAATTTGGGGCCCAATGGAGAAGGGAGGAGGGAGATATGGCTGTTTGAATTATGTCATACAGGCATTTGCTGCAAGGATACGGGTGGATAAAATTTAACGTCATTAAGGCACTATTATGAAATTTCTTAAGCGGCTAAAAGGATTGGCACCTTTATCATATTGAGACCTCGCTGCCATCCAAATTTGGGGTCGAATGGAGAAGAGAGAAATGGCAGTTTGAATGATGTCATGTGGGCATTTCATGCAAGGATAGCAGTGGATACAAATTTGCTCCATTGAGGCACTATTGCAGATTTTCAAAAGTGTTTTGAAGGGGTTGGCGCCTTTATCATATCAAAACCTTGCTGCCGTCCAAAGTTGGGGTGGAATGGATAAGGAAGGAGGGAGCAATGACTGTTTGATTGATATCATATGGGCATTTCATGCAAGGATAGGGGTGGATAGAATTTAGCGCCATTAAGGCACGAATTTTCTAAAGCAGTTTCAAGTGGTTGGCGCCTTCAAATTTGGGACCCAATGGAGAAGGGAGGAGGGAGATATGGCTGATTGAACGGTGTAATTTGAGCACTTCATGCAAGGATAGGGGTGGAAAACCTTTAGCACCATTTAGCCATTAGTGCGAATTTACTACTTTGGTTTGAAGTGGATGACGCCTTCATCGTAGCAGGACCTCACTGCCATTCAAGTTTGGGACCCAAAGGAGAAAGGAGGAGGGAGATATGGCTGTTTAAATAATGTATTAGGGAAAAGTCGTGCAAGGATAGGGGTCGATAAAAGGTACTGCCATTTACCCCGTACAGGGCGTAGGCGAGAAGGTAGGGATACACACGCAGCTCCTGCCCAGTGACGAACTTCCACAAGGCGGCAGCGAGGAAGATCTCAAACTTCCACGTTGCAAATGGCATGCCCTTGCCATCACAGTGCCACACCAGGCAGAAGCGGCCTGCAACAAAGAAAGAAACACATGCAGGGTGACGGGCCGTGAGAACAAAGCGACAGAGCGCTTCCATGGCAGCCATGTGTGGCAGGAGGTTACCTGGCAGGGAGGGGACGCGTGGCTGGGAGGGGAGGCAAGGTAGAGAGGAGAGGCAAGGCAGGGAGGAGAGGCGAGGCAGAGAGAGAGGCAGAAGCCGCCCCTCCGATGGAGTGACTCGCTCTGGGATGGCATCTCGTCCCATGAGCAGAGCACCCCTATCCCACAGCACTTCAGAAGCGCGTGAGAGCGGCCAGAAGCGCTCGTGATTGTCGCAGCTGAGATTGGACGCCACGCTAGGCAGAAACCGCCCCTCAGATGGAGTGGCTCGCACTGGGATGGCATCCCGACCCGCTGTGGCACACCCTGACACTTTGTTCTGTAGGGCTGCCGATGTTTCGTTCTATAGGTGCCTAGAGCCGCAGAGCTCACTTCTGAAGGCTACCTCTGTCTGTACAGCCTGAAAGGAAACCGACAAGTACGTTTGTCTATGTCACAATTAGGGTCTGATATGGTCCCATCTCAAGCCATCCCATCTCATGCTTTATATGGTCTGCCTACAGCCATACAGCCATACAGCCTCTGTACTAGACAGCCAGCTTGGAAAAGTAGCCATTCTATAGTGCTTCTCAGCTGGGATCTGATATGGCACCACCACTCCATCCAATCGCATTGCTGGGAGATGACAAGTCGCGCTATAGTGGCCATCGCTATATGCTCTTCTGGCCATAGTTTTCTCTCAGTCTGTACACTGTATCCATCATGGGGAAATATCATTTCTGTAGCTGTTTTGAGTTGGGGTCTAATCAGGTCTAAGCTGGAGTCTAATATGGCCCCATCCCGTGATGCTCTACCACTGACGCTTCGCTCTATGTGGGCTACCTATGGCCATAGACATTGAACCGAACCTGCATCCTAGTCTATCCAATCCCTAGGCAAGCACAGTGGTACTTGCAGCACCAGCACATCTGCTCAAACCTTATGCAGCAGCATAATGGGAGGAGCTCTTAGGAGAGAAATGTGGGATGCGTGCCTCCCACCCACCCTTTCCGTTGCCAAATGTGTGTATCTGGCTGTGCTGTCCCAAACGTCCGTGGCTCTTGGCGGTTGCGTTTTGTCAAGGCGACTCGACTCGCGAGCCTTGCATGAAACTGCGACGACGATTTTTTTTTTTTGCGATTCCGCAATCTGCCAGGTTTCGCACACCAAGGGCTGTGACTGGCAGAAAGGCTCTAGAAGTTACCAGACCCTTACTTCGTTGTCCCATGTACGAGCTTGACGAAGGGCTGAGCATGCTCAAGGAGCCGCGCCCATAAAACGCACGCGACACGAGCCACAAGAGAGGTACAGTACAGCCCACATTGTCAATCCCACATGAGCTGTCACAACAACGCTTTCAATTGAACTCATATGTGGAAGACAACAATAGTGAGTACCGACCAATAACGGTTTCCTGAGACTGCACATAGTGTAAGGAATATCCTTTTTCCTTAGCGAGCCCTGCTAACATCGAGAACACCCCTGACTTTCGGAAGTCCAGGCTCGGACTGACAACCTAGGTCCCGAACTATGTTAAAGACCCCCAAGCCAATGCGCGGAGTCGCGTCCGACACTTCTGAGCCCCGAGGCGCCCAAACCACCTCACGTGTGTTTCGTGGCCCTCCTCAAGATTATCTTGCTAGGCTAGCTGTGCTTGTTGTTAGCCCTGTGCCTCATTTGTACTCGACACACTTTAGTCACTATTTCTCGGTTGCATTACTCGACTCATATCCGGAGATTGTCATAATAGCCGGTATCAGAGCTACGTTCCTGCCCATTTAGGCTTCCATAGTGAGGTAGTGTTTAGGGGACCTCGCACGTTAGGAGACAGGAGCTGTCTAGCGGTCGTGCAGGAACTTCTTTAATTCCGTCGAATTTGTCGTGTGCACTCTACGTCTCTAACATTGTAAATGCCACTAGTGGCGTTACTGGTGTTAGCTAGCTTGGATATTCATGGTTAATAGTCCTCCTTGCTGTAGTACTAGAAATACGACTCCTGGACAAATTGCTGAGCTGTTAGAGGCAGCAGCGAGTGCGTCGGTGCTTACGACGAAGTTCGGCGAAATGATGGCGAAGATGGAGGCCATGTCCCTGGAGCTCGCCGTGTTGAAAGAGGAGAACATGAGCCTTTGCCAAACGTGTGGTGAGACGCTTAAGGAACCACCAGTTACATCAGACGAAGACCGTGCGATTGCGCATCAGCCGCAGGCGACGTTACCGACACGTGACGACAGCATGAGCGAGCGATGAGTAGTTGTGAAGATCAAGCCTGCAATGCCCTCGTCGTTCAACCCACTGGAGCAACACACCGTGCTGAGTGGGTGGCTGTTCGCCATGAAGCTGCTCTTCAATGCCACTGATGTCAACGACAGTGAAACAATCGTCGAGTTGGCGATGTCTTTATTACGCGAGCCTGCAATAAGTTGGTGGCGATAGTACGTGACGTTATGAGGGACTCCGACAGACCGGCAACAAGCGATGGACGGGGAGCAATGTTTGGCTTCAGCTTCAACATGTTATTTCGTGTGGCCAAGAGCCTTACTTGGCAACAGTGGGGTGCACTGCTTCACAAGCGTTTCGAGCATGTCTCCGCATGCGAGAATGCTCACGTGAAGCTGCACGGATGGCGTCAAATGCATTCTGTCCTAGAATACATGTCATCGTTCCTCGCCATCTGCGACAAAATCGATGTTCTACACGAGATAGAGAAGATGAGCCGCTACATCCTAGGGCTGAGAACGGAGGTCCAGCAAGAAATTCGCATGCGACGACCGACGACATTCTTGGAGGTGCAGCAGGTCGCAGAAGCATGGGGCAAGAAAAGTGTATGGCCGAGGGAGAATTTTCGGGAGGAAAGTCATTTTCGAGGGCAGAACATTTACCCATCCATCAACGACGTGGTAGCACCACCAAATAGCAGATTTTATGGCAGGTGTTATCATTGTAACCAGCCGGGCAAAATCATGCGAGACTTTCCGGAGCTGCTTTTAAAACGGGAGCTAACAGCGAAAGGAAGCCGGGAAATGGATCAAGTCAGTATCAGCTGAGCCCCCTACTGACGAGGCTTTGTCGCCCAAAGATCACCACTCCCACTGAGTCGTAGTGTCGATCTATGTGATCGACCACACTCGGTTAAAGGGGAGTGACCCTGTTGACTGCCCTGTCCTGGTGGAAGGGCACGTTGGCAACACCAGACTAAAAATGTTCATGGATGGTGGAGCATCACACAATCAGTTCGATGTAATAAGAGCGAAAAATTGAAGCTGCAAATTGAGCATTGCATGCCCAAGATTGACGCGCGGTTGGTCAATGACACGCCACTTGCAATTCGGGAGCGGGTGAAACACGATCGCATTGATTGCGACAGCAAAGTTAGCTTCGCCATGCAAATGCTAGAGTCTATGTTGGACGGTTGTGATGTGCTCCTGGGGCGCGAATAGCTTCGCACGTACATCCCAGCATTGATTAGAGGAATGGCAACATTCGCCTGAAGTGGGGTGGCGAGTGGCGACGGCTGTCAAAGTGGAAACCACCCGATCCCAAGCCAACGGTGAGTAAATTATGTGACCATCAAATGCGTAATAGTGGAAGGTGTGGACGTCTACCCCGTCCGGTGGATTGCATTTATGGATGTGGCTGAGTAGACCAACCTCGAGAAGCTGTGTGCTGCTTTACCTAAGGACCTGGTGAAGATCATGCGCAAGTACAAGAAGATATTTCCCGATAACCTGCTGCCCGTCCTCCCACTCAAACGACCACACGATCACACCATCGAGCTGGAATCTGGCGCGCAACCGACCGTCCGATCCAAATGGAGGCTGAGTTAACCGGAGCTATAGGAGTTGCTTACCCAACTGGATTATCTACCAGAGAAAAAAATAATCCGCCCGACCACGTCACCCCACGCCGCCCCAATTCTCTTCAGCCCCAAAAAGGACAGGGGGCTTTGAATGTATATCGTTTATCACGCGCTGAACAACAACACCATCAATTCCCGTTACCCGGTTCCACGAGCCGACGATCTCATCGACCAATTTCGTGGGGCCATAATTTTTTCCAAGATTGATTTGCGAGGGGGTTATCACCAGATTCGTGTCGTCGAAACTAATATTCCGAAGACCGCATTTCGCACCCGTTACGACAGTTACGAGTATACAGTGATGCCATTTAGGTTGATGAACGCGCCCTCAACTTTTCAACTGACCTAGAACGAAGTCTTTCGCTCGCTACTGGACAAGTGCGTCATCGTCTACCTAGATGATATCTTGGTATACTGTATAACAAAACTCATGAGCAGGATCTGCAGGACTCGGAAGCAGTTTTTACCCTCCGGGATCAACACTGACTCATCACCAAAGGTTTTAAGTGCGGGTTCTTAAAAGAGGAGCTGGAATTTTTGGGACACATCATCTCCACGAGGCGTTAAAATTGACCCGAAGAAAATCGAAACTATTCGGAAATGGGAGCCGCCTATTAACGTCAAGGAGTTGCAGAGTCTTCTAGGGTTTGTCAACAATGTCTGCCGTTCTATACCCAAAATGACGGAGTCAACTGCCCTGCTATCCGGTTTTCTGCGGAAGGGAGTTTTTTAATGAGTGGGGGGAGAAGCAACAAATTGCGTTTGACCAACTGAAAACTTTCCTCATGACACCACCCATTCTTCATATCGCCGAGCTTGACCGCCCTTGTGAACTGGTTACAAACGCCAGCGACATCGCTGTTGGCACGGTTCTGTTACAGGACTTTAGCGAAGGCCTTCAACCAATCGCCTACGACTCGCGAAGGCGCTGAACGGAATTACCCTGTTCACGACAAGGAAATGCTCGCGATCGTCAATGCTTTCAAGACCTGGCGCTGCTACCTATCAGACGATAACCTTCCTATCCAAACATACCACAAGTCCTTACAGTTCCTCTGAGCTCAACCAACACTCAATCCCCGTCAGATACGTTGGCTCGAATATCTCGAGTCCAAATTCCACTATCGCATCACCTACAAAAAGTTAGCAAATAATATTGCCAACGCCCTTTCCCGCCCTAGTGTCCATACAGATGCCATACTATTCGCCCAGGCTAATCCATTGCTAATTGGACTATTTACCCATGGCTATATTATTGACCCACTCTTCACCTCTAACCGTCACCAGGCGTTAACCACTCAACGAGGGCATTACCAACTAAAAGCCGGTACTGACTGAATTTGGGTTGCATCCTACTGCCTTTTCCAGGAATTACTTATATAGGAGGTTCATGACGCTAATTGCTTGGACTTTTCAGCATTGATAAAACCTTGAAAATGCTCACCAATGTCATTACCATGGGCTGAATGCGAGCCATGACGTACAGCAATACGTGATATCGTGTCCCACCTGCCAACTCATGAAGTTCTACTGCCAAAAGCCAGCTGGATTACTGTAACCGTTAGAACTGCCAACAAAGCCCTACACACACGTGTCCTTCGACTTCGTGACAAGACTGCCGGCCGGCGCATCCCAAAATGACGCTGTACTCGTGGTCGATTCACAAAAATGGCTCATTTCGCGGCCTGCCAAATGGCGATCACTGCCGAGAAAACTGCCAAGCTGTCCATCTCGACCGCCGTTCTCCTGCACAGAATCTCGAAGGAGACCTCGAGCGATCATGACCACCATCGATGGAGATGACGTGGCCCAAAAACTCCAGTTCTTGTTTTAGAAACTTGCACTTAGAGCCCTTGGTGATGAGTCGGTGCTGGTGCAGGAGAGAAAACTGCTTCCAAATCCTTCAAATATTGGTCCCGGGTAGTGCTGTAGATTAGGATGTCGTCGAGGTACACAATGACGCATTTAACCAGCAGCGGCCGAAAGACCCCGTTCATGGTTAACTGGAACATCGAAGGTGCGTTTGTTAAGCCAAATAGCATAACCGTGTACTCGTAACTCCCGTACCGGATCCGAAATGCTGTCTTGTAGCAGTCAGCTTCATGCACGCGGATTTGATGGTAACTGCCTCGCAGGTCAATTTTCGAAAAGTACTTGGCTCCACGTAGTTGATCGATGAGTTCGACGGCACGCATGATAGGATAGCGGGACTTGATGGTATCCCGATTCAAGGCGCGGTAGTCAATGCACATGCGTAGACCGCCATATTTTTTCGGGGTGAACAGGATCGGAGCTGCGAACGGGGAAGTGCTGGGGCGAACGAGACCTTTCTCGAGTAGGCAGTCCAGCTGACGTCGAAGTTCATCAAGTTCGGGCTGAGTCAGCCGCCATTGATTCCGAACACTCGGTTGCGTGCCGGGCTCCAACTCGATTTTGTGGTCGTGGTCTCGCTCAGGTGGCAAACCCGCTGGTAGGTCGTCTGGAAAAATGTCTGCGTGTTTGCGAATCAATGGTGCCAAATCGTTCGGGACAGCTGCGCAGAGTTTGTCGATGTCGGCTGGTGCGTCGACAGCCGTGGATGCGATCCATCGGACGGGGTACAGTTGCGCCCCGCGAATCATAGCTCGCTTGATGGTAACCGCGCTGACCGTCGATGTCGTGGAATCTTGACAGCTCCACTTGGGAAGTCGTCACCACTAGCCACTCCATTTTATGCGACAGTCACCCGTCCGCCAGTCGATGATCGGGTTGTATTCGCGCAGCCAATCGCGTCCCAGCAGCATATCGCAGCCGTCCAAAGTTGTCGCCAGCATCTTCGTCGTGAAGCTGAAATTTTTCCCGCATGTTACGCGTACGCAAGGTACTCGCTCCCGAATTGCCAGTCGTGTGTTGTCGACCAATCTCGCGTTGATTTCCAGCATGCAGCGCTCCAGTTGCAGTCGCAACTTTTTTGCCTTCGTTACGTCCATCAAACTGTGGCTTGCCCCGCCATCAATGAATATTTTGATGCGGGTGTCGCCAACTCTCCCTTCAACCAGCACAGGGCAATCAACCGGTTCACCCCCCTTATTCAGCCAGGAATGGTCGATAGCCCAAATCGGCACTATAACCTGATGGGGGTGGTGGCGTTTGGGCGACGCAGTCAAGTTGGTAGGTGGCCCATCTGCTACTGACGATCTCCATTTCTCGACTGCTTCTTGTCGTTAGGTAAGTTCTTCTTCAGCTACGGGCAGTCCCTCACCATGTGATCCGGCTGGTTGCAGTGGAAGCAGGTCCCCGAAAATACTCGGGCTGCAAACACGTCCACGCCGTTGATTGATGTGTGTTGGGGCTGGCCTCGAAATCTATTTCCCTCCCAGAAACCCGCTCTCGCGAGTCCACGTCGTGTGTCCAGCGCCTATGCGATGCGAAAGATCTCGTTGAAAGTCGTCGGGGCTCGCAGGACGATCTCTTGGTGAATCTCCGGCTTGAGACCACCCACGTAGCGATCAATTTTCTCGTCCTCGCTGATCCCTCCGATTTGGTCGCAGATTGCCAAAAACGACGATGTGTATTCTTGGACAGAGCCCAGCTATCTCCACATCCGAAGCTTTGTGCGAGCATTTACGCGCATGGATATGTACTCGAATCTTCCCTTCAACGCTTCACGCCACGCTTTCCACGTGCGGATCGTGGCCGACCCAAAGATTGGTTCTGCCTTCGCCGTTGATGAACTCATCTCCCCATCTGCCGCCCGTTGATTCCCTGCCGGAGCTCCTCCCTCGTCTAGATGCATGCACCATCAGTCGAGTGCCGGTCCCCTCAGTAGTGACACAACCAAGTTGACACGTGATGCATTGTCATTAATACGTGCCGTCGTGAAGAAGATTTCCATGGCAAACAGCCACCCGCTCACTGTAGTTATCCTGTCGGTCGGGTTGAACGGTGGGGGCATCGTAGGCTTGATTTTAGTGGCCGCCCGCGGTTCGCTGTGGACTTCTTCAACTGCTTCAGGTGTCCCCGATGCCCTCGCTTCGCTCACATCATCTTCGTCTCGGGTAACAGGCCGCCCCTGACGCGCTTCACCTCGCGACTGGCGAAGTGACGAGTTTTCGTTGCGCAGCGTCTGAACTTCGCTTCCCAGCGACTCGAACTTGTCCGCAAGTTGTTGAAGCTGGGCCTGCGGTGTCGTCACTGTAGCCGCCCTGGCTTGCAACTCGTCAAACTCCTTCTGAGTCACGTTCCTAACACTACGACGGGCAGAGGTTTCTGGCATGCTAGTCATGCTGGAAATTTTACCTGACATATCTGAGGGTGCACACGCTTTTAGTTGGAGGGGCTTTAACGAGCTCGCCTACCAACCGCTGGCCAACCCCCTATTCTGTTGGGTCCTCTCCCGATATAATCAGACTACTCTACGGAACACTAAGCGGGCAGGAACGGGGCTCTGATACCAACTGTTATGAATTAATCGGAGTAATAACTGGTAGTATTATAAAGGGGTCGTGATTCAATAGTGTCGATACAAATGAGAGCCTAGGCATTTATAGACACGAACAGAGCTAGTCGAGTGTTGGAAATACCTCGAAGACTTAAGCGTTTCTGAAGTGTAAAGCTACACTCGAAGAAATGTCATATCGAGTACGCGAGTCAACGGAGGTTACACGAGGAGGTTGGACGAAAGAACACGAAAGGACGAAGGGACTCGAAGGATCGCAACCTGAGGTTGCGACTGACCGTTACGACTGCAAGGGTGGTAACCGAACCATCGATCAAGTCGCTGTGCGACTCGATAACAGTTTCTTCAACTGTATTCTACAACTGCTCTATTTCCTATTTTCTATATATTGTTGTATGATTGTTTCTTTTAATCAATCATTTGCTCTCACATACTAGTGCAAGGATTCAACTACTCAATACTTCTGCTGCACTACTCAAGCATCTTGTACAAGTGGGACTTAGTCTCTGGAAAGATGCTAAGGGCTTTTCTCAGCCCAACACCGAGAACCACGCGAACAGGTTGGGGCGATTCGGTTGGCGAAAGCCACGGAAGCGCTGCGCGTCGAGGTTTGGGTTCGCAAAGTGGTTCAGGACCGAAGAAGTTGGCCGAGCCTGGACTTCCGAGAGTCGAGGGCGTACGCGCTGTAGTCGAGCCCAGTAAGGAAAATGGAACTTCCTTACAGGGGAACTGTAAGTAACATTATATTCCATGCGAAGTTAATCGGATTTACGCCCAAACCCAACGTCCCTAAGCATGTAAGGGGATGTCCAAAGCGAACCCGACATCCGACGACATCCCTTGGGGGATGTCGCGGGATTTCAACCATCGATTCTCTCCGATCTATGGTCGACATCCCTCGACATCCACCAACGGATGTCGTCGGATGTCGAAATTTCACTTCGAAATTTCACTTTCACTTTCGCAAAAGCCATGTGCGATTCTGGTTTCCCTGTTTAAGACACACTTGGTAACCGAGACGGGCCTTGCGATTCGCTTGAGTTTGGTAGGGCTTTTGACCGCTGTGCCAGACTGTCAGGCCACCAATTTGGCTCGGTGCATTGGTGAGCCGTGAGTCGCTGCCGCCTTGTGCCATGCCGAGTCGATGCTCAGGATTTCTTCGCGATTTCTCCACGTCGTGAATGACGCCTGCCACCAGACGTCCTCGCTAGTGCGTCAATCTGAAACCAGAACTGGTTGTTGAGACTTGGCAGGTTTCTCCTGCCCGTCAAACGTAACAGTTGCCAAGCAAACAAATGTACATCGAACGTGAATTCTGCTGCCGAACCGGCGAGACAGCTTCGCGGCGGGGGGGATACACACGAGCCTCGAAGCTGCGATTGTTCGGCGACAACAACCGCCCTGCCAGGCAATTTGAGTCAAATCTCAGCCTGACTGTCGCTGATTGGTTCCTCAGCAGGCAGCCACTCTGGGCTAGTGCTCTCGGTTCAAGGGGAAACATCTGGAATGTCAGGTACATTCCGGGTATCTCCCGCTGAAATCCTCTGATTCCAAACATCCTGACTGATTCCGGACGTTTTCGAGGGATTCCCTGTGCAATCTGGTTTGGACGAAAAATTCTCCTGGCTACCCAAATGGAATTGCAACCCCCCAACAAACCCCCCCCCCCCCCCCCACAACCTACGTACCTCTGACCGATTTTCCACCGAATCTGAAGGTGTGACCCGTGGACTTTCACAGCCGCACTAAGTGCAGGGCTGTCAGACCAATTATCCCACCGTAGCCAGGTTCCGCACTCTCTTCAAGTTGTAGGCATTCCTGTCGGGCGATGGACAAGCAAAGCGTCGAAGTTGGTGTGGTGGTGAGGGACAGCAGGTAGCTGCAAGTGTGTGTTCTGTCTTCTCTTCTGTAGTTCCTTCCATCTAGCCTGCTTGTGATTACTCGGACTGCCAACAGGTTCTACTGATATGGAGGGCATCGCACAAATAGTCTTATTTTTAGATGGAAAGTTCGTAGTGATCCTGAAATAAAGAGAGATTTTCCTGGGTCTTTGGTAGCGCGAATCCTGAGACCCCTGGGTTTTGAAAAAACGAAAAACAAAAAAAATAGCCCTGTTCTCGGCTGTGAGATTAGGCGGCAACTGACCTTCGTGCCATGTGTGATTCGCGAATACGACATTGGACGAACCTGCCAACCGCCTCGTGTCGTAGGTCTGGGCTGCTGGGGAGGGGACCGCACTGCACTGCACTACACTACCCTGGGGCCGGCCCAAATCATACATCTGATTGCGGTGCAGTACTTTTCTTTGCGTTTCAAAGCGTTCGAATCACAATCTAGAATGGTTGGATAGGGTACTTTAGGTAGGGAACTTTTTGGACCCGCCCTGAACAGCCCTGTCTCAATCAATAACACCGAGGAGACAAACGCTACTGGTACAAATACTTGGATTCTGTTTCTTCACCTTCCCAAGCCAACCCAACCAGGCTTTCTGATCAGAGCAGCAGACCAGCAGCAGTCACTCCTGCACACTCCATCTGGGAGAGAGACGCCAAATCTGACCATAATTAGTACCAATGTAGCACAAGATCCGCGTAGTACTTGCCGCCCATATTTTCGTTGCAGGAGCGCATTGTGTGGTGCCATTTGACGTAAGAGGACGGCCCGGAGTACTAGAGCCACCGGCGACTACTAGTACGGGCGTTAATTATTTAGGCAGCTGCACCTTCCCAGTTTCAGAGGCCTTCCTTTCCAGTGATTCCACCTCTACGTTCTAAATTTTTTAAGATCAAATAATAGATTTGTTTCTATAAAATACTAGATTTTCCCCCCATATTTTTACCAGCTCTAGCCTAGAGATGCCTAAGAGATAGCCCTCCATGCAGATAGCCTAGGCAGGGGGCGGATATACAACTTGAAGTGCGCGTTTCCTCAGAGAGAGATGCCGCAGCATACTCCAAGTGGGCCAGTAGAGCCTGCAGAGAGCGCTGGGGTTGTTGGGTGAAGGGCGGCCCAAATTTGCCACTACTAGCCCCAGTGAAACTGCCCCTGCCACTGACTCTGGAAAGGGCAGCCAAAGTGCCATGATTGCTGACGAGGATTTGCCGCCTGGGATCAGATTCCGGCCGACAGACGAGGAGCTGCTGGGGTACTACCTCAGACGGCGCGTGAAGGGGTGGCCGATTGCGTGGAATGCAATTGGCGATGTGGATCTGTACAAGTTTGAGCCCTGGGAACTGCCAGGTATGCACTCCACTCCTATGTGCACTTCCTTCCCTGATCTGTGAGCTGCTGTGCTGCTCAAGGACCTGGCACGTGTCGATCCTGCCGTGATTGGCGACGTGGATCTGTAACTTGGCAATTTTGAGCTGTGGGAACTGCCAGGTATGTCTACTTCCATTGCCTACAGGCTGTTCTAGGAGCTGCTGTGCTGCTGTGCCGCTGTGCTGCTGTGCCGCTGTGTTGCTGTGCCGCTGTGCTGCTGTGCTGCTGTAACATGTCGCCATGTGCTGCTGTGCCGCTGTGCTGCTGTGCTGCTGTGCCGCTGTGCTGCTGTGCTGCTGTGCCGCTGTGCTGCTGTGCCGCTGTGCTGCTGTGCTGCTGTGCCGCTGTGCTGCTGTGCTGCTGTGCCGCTGTGCTGCTGTGCTGCTGTGCCGCAGTGCTGCTGTGCCGCAGTGCTGCTGTGCTGCTGTGCGCTGTGCTGTGCTGCTGTGCTGTTGTGCTGCTGTGCCGCTGTGCCGCTGTGCCGCTGTGCTGCTGTGCTGCTGTGCCGCTGTGCTGCTTTGCTGCTGTGCCGCTGTGCTGCTGTGATGCTGTGCCGCTGTGCTGCAGTGCTGATGTACTAGAAGCTGCAGTGCTGTTGTGCTGCTACCTCAGACGGCGAGTTTGGAGTATGTGTTTACACGTAGCATGGAAGGGTACTGCGATGCATAAACTTGATGACGCATAAGCTCGGAGCTTACTCCATCTCCCTTTTTCCAGAATCCATACACGCACCATCCCTTCCCTCCCGCTCCTCCTGACTCACACCATGTGTGACACACATGCCCCTTCAAGGGCTGCATCCCTTCTCAAGCGCAGCACCTTTTTACGTGCCTCTAAGAAACAAGCTCGCTTCTTCCCATATCCATACACACACCACCCCTTCCCTCCCCCTCCCCCCGGCTCACACCATGTGACACACATGGCCCCTTTCCCAACCGCTGCACCCCTTGCCTTGCCTGTAAAAAAAGAACAAATCTATTTATTCCCAGCCACACCGTCTGAGCTGGAATGGAAAGTTTCAACAATGTGGGCGATTGGGCAAATCGGCCAAAAGATCCAACCTTAATACTTCAGCGGCTATATCTGGTTCCACCCCCCTGCCCCAAACTCCTAAACCCTAGCCATGAATGTCCGATGCTTATCCCAATTTCCCAAACGACCCCTCCCTTCCCATTCGCAGCCACGGCAACAAGCCCCATTGCTGGTGACGGTGAATGGTTCTTCTTCGCTTCACACGACCTCAAGTACCCCTCGTCCCCTTCCATCTTCGCCTTTCACCCTTTCCCTTTTCTCCACAAAGAGTCAGAGCCACAAGCCACATTATTTTCACGAGACCCCAAGCACCCCACTTTCCCCCTCATCCTTCCCTTCTCTCCCCAAACAGCCAGGGCAACGAGCCCCATTGCTGGCGACAGCGAGTGGTTTTTCTTCGCTTCACCCGACCTCAAGTACCCCTCTTCCCCCTCTATCTGCGCCTCTCATCCTTCCCTTCTCTCCCCAAACAGCTAGAGCGACCAGCCCCATTGCTGGCGATGGCGAGTGGTTTTTCTTCGCTTCCCGGGACCTCAAGTACCCCTCGGGTTCTCGCTCCAACCGGGCAACGACAGCCGGTTACTGGAAGGCCACAGGGAAGGAGCGGCCGGTGCATGTGAGGCTTCCACGTGGCAGTGGTGGGAGCGGTGGGAGCGGTGAAAATGGGGATCAAGCAGTCAGAATGGGATTTAAGAAGACACATGTCTTCTATATGTAAGTTCCATGTACTGCATGATGTTAGATGTCATGTCTCCCCCACTCACCCACCATGCCTCCCCACCCTTGCCTTCGGATAGCATCTTGGGTTTTTCCATTGCCTGGTCCAGTGATCAAGGCACCGGATCATGCTTTACCAGCCTCGACTCAAACCTTCTACATACTTGTTCTTTTGTGCTTTCGGTGGTGCGGTGCACAGGGGGAGGGCGCCGGGAGGTAACAAGACCGACTGGGTCATGCACGAGTATCGCCTCGCTGAGGACCCGCCTGAAGCTGCAGCTGCTACAGACGTACCCGGAGCCGCTACAGATGCAGCTGGGCCAGCTACAGCCGCCACAGATGGGGCTGGGGCTGCGGACGGATCAGCAGTGGGTGCAGCCGCCGCGGTTGCTACTACTGCAGAAGCAGACCTTATGGGTGCAAAGAGTAGCAGTCCAAAGCGAAGCATCATTGCGGGTATGGATGTGGGATCGTGGATGGTGGTGCGTGTGCTCAAACGAAGCCCCCTGACAGCGGAAGAGCAGGCGATAGTGGCACAGCTGGGAGGGGCGTCGTTCCAAGGATGGAAGCCACGGCATTCAATGCAGCAGCAGCAGCAGCAGCAGCAGCAGCAGCAGGGGAGAGAGGTAGGACAGCAACAAGAGGGAACAGGTCGGCAGCCAGGGGGGGAAGGGAAGCAGCCAGGGGGCGCAGATCAGGGCAAAGGAGCCGGGACAGCAAAACTAGAGCAGGAAGCTGGGGTAGTGACAGGTATGGCAGGTCAAGGGGGCATGATGATTCAGCAGGTGGCATGTGCGGGAGGTAGTCCCGCGAGCGGGAGCGGGGTGGCAGGGATTTATGGGACAGGACACAGGATGGGAGGCTTGGGAAGTATTTCGCCAGACGAGACAGCATCCCCTGAGGATGTGATAGTGGTTGACGTGATTACCAGGGGTAGTTCACCCTCCGAGATTTCACCAGAAGGTAACTCCCCAACTACCCTCACAGGCACACATTCGCCCATCTCCTCCTCCAGTGCCATGTCCGTAGACGTCCAGAGCAGCATAGGGGGAAGCAGGGCAGCAGCAGCAGCAATGGACGTAGCAGGAACAGGAGCAGCAGTGAGCGCTGACGACCCCGCCGCACGTCCAGGTTCTATTTCTCCTCCCCAAAACCCGCACCCGGGAATATCCCCTGCTGCCTTTCTTCTGCCAAATGCCGGACCCAGCAGCCAAGCAACGCAACCGCAGTTATTGCACGCCCTGTACCACGAGACTATGCCGTCCTTCAAGCACTATCTGTTTGAAAACAAGCAGCCCAGCAGCAGCAGGGCTGGTGGTACGGAAGCAAGAGGAGACAGAGAGGAGAACGAAAGAGTTGGCAACCGAGAGGGGAGCGGGATTGTCGTGGGGTCTAGAGATGCTCCTATTGAGCTGGAGGTTGTGCATGCCTGGAACGGAGGTAGGCATGTGCAGTCAGAGGTGCGGATGGGAGAGGAGCGGCGCTTACTAGTAGAGGAGCAGATTATGGGAGATGAGCAGTTTATGGGAGAGGAGAGGCATATGCAGGCAGAGATGCATATCGTAGAGCAGCAGCAGCAGCAGCAGAAGGAACGGCGGCGGCAGCAGCAGCAGCAATGTGCGGCAGAGGAGCAGAAGTTGAGGGTGGTGGAGGAGCGAGTGGAGTGGAATACAGAAGCGGGTATGCAAGCAGAAGGGCAGCACATGGGAAAGGAGTGCCTTATGGGAGAGGAGACCTACATGGGAGAGGAGCAGAAGATGAGGGTAGTGGAGGAGCGAGTGCAGTGGAAGACAAAAGCGGGTATGCAAGCGGAAGGGCAGCAGAACAAGGAGAAGGAGCAGCAGGAGCAGCTATACAGGCACCAGGATCAGAAGCAGAAGAAATGGCACACGCAGCAGCAAAGAGAACAGCAAGTAGGGAAAGTCCAGCGTCATGGGCCAATCCAGCCGCCCATGCAGGGCGTTCTTGGCCAGGTAGCAGAAAGAATGGTAACACCATCAGGTGCCTCAACTGGTGCCTCTGTTCAAGCAGCACCAGATTCCTTCCTCCCGCATACGCGCACTCAGCAACCGTTCCCATCGCTCATGCAAGCACCATCCCCTCGAGCTACGCACATGGTTAGCTCCCATTGGCAGCAAGCCCAGAGCCCACGACAGCACGGCAGTCACAATCAGGTGAATGCAAGCAGCAGCATCATTTCCCCTCCATCCGGCCCCCTGGGCCCATTCATTCCGCCTCCCTCCCCTTCCGCCTCTGCAGCCTCTTCAGCTGCCTCGCAACCCCATCAGATGCCATCTCCAGGTGCCAACCCAACTGCTGCTGCTGTTTCTGCCGCCACCACTGGCCCTTCTGCTGTCGCAGAGGGAGAGGCACGTGCAGCAGAGGCAGCTGGCAGTGCAGCAGCAGGTGCTGCAGCAAGCAGTGAGATTCGAGCAGAGGATCTGCAGGCGCTAGCTGACCTCCTCAACTCTCTCATGGCCAGTCAAGCTGCCACCGCCACGGCAGCTAATGCTGCTAACTCTGCTGTTCCTTCTGCTGCAGTTGATGTCCAACCTCTAAGGTCAGTGACTGCTCTGATTCCTACAGACACTGCTGTGATTCCTACAGGGACTGCAAACTCAGGGCTTGCTGGTGCTCAGGGAAATGAGTTTGGAGGGCTCGTGGAAGGAACAGCGATGGCGGGCTCCCGACAGCTAGCGCGCGCGCACTCGGTTGGAGAGCGCTCGTATTCGGTTGCCGGAGTGCCATCAGCTTTATTTGGCGTGCTGTCTACAGGGGCGCAGCAGGGGAAAAGGCACAAGGGGCAGCAGGGGGCGGGGTTTGGGCATGAGGAGCAGCAGTGGCATCAGCAGCGGACGCAATTGCTGCAGCAAATCCAGCAGCCACACCACCAGCAGAAGCAGCAGCAGTACCAGCAGATACTGCTCCAGGAGCAGCAGCAACAGCCTGCAGCCGGAGAAGCTGAAATTAGAGCGAAATATGAAAATCCGGACGAGCTGAGCGCTGATATCCCTTGGCACAGAAGTGTATCCTGCCCAGTCGTCTCTCTGCCCCATCAGGCTCCCAGTCCAGGCACCAACCAGCCTAGTCCCACTCAATGGTCTGACTATATGCCCTTCCGAGCCTCCCACAGCTTAGGAGAGGGGGAGCAAGGGAGGGGGGGAGGGCACGGGGGGGCGACCGGCAGCAGCAGTAGCAGGAATAGCGAGAGGTTTTACCATGCGCAGTCTTTGCTGCATACTGCTGTGCGGGAAACTGGTGGGGGGGAGATGGGTGGAGCGAGGGAGGGGGGGGAGGAGAGGGGAGGGGAGGATGGAGGGGATAATGGCTTGGAAGCAATGATTCGCAGCATTACCTGGCATGAAGGTGCAGAGCGGACAGAAGGCACAGGGGTGAGGCCAGGAGCAGAAGGGGCAGAGACAGGCACAGGAGTGAGGCTGACAGGAGCAGAAGGGGTAGAGGCAGGTACGGGAGTGCAGCTGGCGGGTGTAGAGAGGACGGAGGAGAGAAGAAGGATGGAGCACAGCGAAGCGAACAGGCAAGGAATAGGAGAGGAAGCAGCAGGGATAGCAGCAGGAGGGGTGGCAGCAGGAGGGGTGGGAGCAGCAGGGGTGGGAGCTGCAGGCGTGGCAGCAGCAGTGGTGTCAAGAGACGCCGGAGCCGAGTTAACAGCACTGGAGCACGGAGTAGGACTAGTTGAGCTGGAGGCACTTCTTCTGGAGCTAGAGGGGGGTTTGATCAATAACATAGCAGGTGTCAGCATCCCCAATAACAGCATGCTTGGTGTTACCATGGGGCCGCCAGACGCACTTCTGCTGCCAGAGTCATTCTTCCTATCACCTGCAGTCGCATGCACAACGGGTGAGACAAGAACAGATGAAACAGCATCGGCACCAGCAGCAGAAGCGGCGGCGGCGGCAGTAGGCACAAGTGTAGACGTGGCAGGGAAGCCACAAATGGAAATTCAGGCAGCCAGCAGCAGCAGGGGCTCTGGAAAGCGGCTCTCTCCTAAGAGGTGCCACGACGAGGTGGTGGTGTTTGAGGCTTCTAAAAATGAGGAGCCATGATGGGGAGATGCCGAGTCCTGCTGATGGTTTCCACTTAAAGAATTCTACAAGATGATGCTGAGAATTCTGACTGCATTTTTTAAAATTCTCATCATGGTGGAGTCGCTGATTCCTGCAGATGGTAGCTCCTGAATTATAACTGGTGGTGTTTCCCTGGGCTCTGCACCTGTGGTGGTGCGTGGGGAGGAGGTTACTGGCTTAGATGTGAAAGCTGGAATTGCTCCAATGGATGTGATTCTTGAGCTGTGATGCTGGGGAGGAGAAAGGGGGCCTGAAACCCCCTGGGTGAGTTGATTGATGCTACCTAGTTGATGGGCGATGGATGGCAGCTGCATCTACCACCAGCGCACTGGGTGCTTCGAGGGATGTGGTTCTTGAGCTGTGGTGCGGGGGGTGTGCTCGGTACTTCTCCAATGAAGCAGCTCTGATTCAATCAAAATCTTCAGAGAAACAAGCACATACTTGAACATTTGAAAGCAGCTGGGCCGGGCCTTTCAAACAACCTAAGGCAGCCTCATCTATTTGCCTCAGGCATATGATTTGCTGTATGATAAGTAGTATAGCTCGATGTCATCATTTGCAAATAATAATGGGATCTCACCTCCTGTCTTCGTTCTCCTTCCCATGTGCACGTCCGCTCTCACCCTCTCAACCTTGCAGGGCTGTTTTCACAGCAGCAACAGCAGCAACAGCAGCAGCAGCAGCAGCAGCAGCAGTGCCAGACACACTGGGGTGGAATCTCACTGCTGTCGCTCTTTCAGATATTACTAAGCACATAGCCAGGGGCAAGGTTGGTGAGCTAACGTCTACCATTAAAATGGGATCGGAACCACTCACAAGCACGAACGTGCGCAGCACATGAAAGCACGGGAAATTTTACATGCAAGTCATTAATAGTCTTGCCACATGTGTGGCTATAGCACTGCCCATACTAGTCATATCACTTCCTACACAAAATTTTCAATGCTGTTGTTTAGCATGCCATACAGGATACAGCAGTCATTCGAATATTCCAAGCTAGAACACCCAATTTTATTATAGTTGTAAAACCATCTCGTATCGTAAATCGTCATCGTGCATTGTTTTGTGGGTGTAACTATAAGTGTTATGAATGAACAAGCAGAGTTGCGTGGAAATGAATAACGAAGTGTTCAATCACTGAATGACGATACAAGGAATGGCAAGCCAAGATATAGGAACACCAGAGCTAGTCTAACCATGAGATGGGAAGGTCCAGGAAAGAGATCGAAGGGTCTCGAAGTGACGAAGCAAGGACCAGAGAACTCCCGAAGGTCGAACTAGAAGGTCTGGAGAAGCCGAGGCGGTTCCATCAGGAAGGTCCGGAACCGTCCTAAGGCTTCGGGTGTGTTCGAGCGTACGCGATAGCAGTACCGCTCGGTAAGGAATGGAAAATTCCTTACACCACCCCCCCCCCTTAGCGAAGGTGATCTATATCAGCCTTGTGCTTGCGGGCCAAATAATTCGCAAGTATCGAAGGTGACTGTATATGGTCCGAGGGCACCCACGTGTTGTCCTCACTGGTACGATTGGTCCAACGTATCAGAAAGTCAACGTGTCGTCCTTGGCCATCGATACGAATCCTATGGCTCAAAATATTCGAAGGCTCGATGGTCGTCTCTGCTGGTGGCCGTACATCCGGGACCAATCGGTGTCGGGCGATGTCCGATGTGTCTAGGTACGAAGGGTCGCAACAGGCTCACGTCGAACTTGTTGTGAATGCGCCAATCATCAGGTAGGCGTAACTGGGCGGTCACCGGTGTCACCATCTTCATGATCTTGAATGGGCCACAGAAACGTGGACGTAATTTCGTCGGCAGTGGCTGCCGTAAATTCTTGGTGTCCAAAAGGACTAGTTGCCTTGCTGCCATTGTAATATCCCGTTGATGTAAATCCGCATACCGTCGAGCAGTAGCGTTCGCCTACCAAATAAGTTCGACAGATTTATCTCGTGTAGTCTATAATTCTTTGACAAACTGTTGCGACCGCGATACTTGACTCTCAACGTTGGTGGAGATGGGCACTATGGGGTCCATCCCGTAATCGAGGTACATCGGGGAGTGATTAGTCGTTGTTGAGGGCGCGTTGTTCTAGGAGAATTCCAACATGGAAAGCGCGTCCTCCCATTTGTTTCGGTCGGGGCAGTTTGTCCAAATCAGCTGCTCCATCGTTTGGTTTGTCCTTTCTGTCTGACCGTCTGTTTGAGCATGATAAGCGGATGAGAATTGCAGGCGCGTGTCGTACCGAGCCCACGTGTCCTACCAAAATTTTGACGTGAACTTCGGGTCTCGATTGCTAATGATTGCTGCTGGTATCCCGTGTAGGCGAACAACGGTCGAGATGAACAGTAGCGTGGTTTCTTGGGCTGTGATGGTTGTACGACATGGTGCGAAATGCGCCATTTTCATCAATCGGTCGACGACAACCAATACTGCGTCGTTTTCGCTCGATCCGGCCGGTAGACCTGTGACGAAATCCATCGTCCTGTCGGTCAAGGGGCTGCAACAGTCCTGTCGGTCGCTGATGTAATGATTTCATTCGCTAGCAGATCGGACACGCAGCCACGTTATGTTGCACGTCCGTCACCATATGTGGCCAGTAATAATACCGCTGCAACCCTGACATGTCCCGATAAATTTGAATCGTGGACTTCTTGAATTAGTAATTCGCGAAGTAGACGATAACTTGGGACCCAAATTCGATCCGTCCCGCTTCGTAAGTAATAGACGCCTTTCCGTGTAGTAATTTGGAGATGGCCATCATTTACGAAAAAAGGGGTCCGTCGAATACCCGTGGGTAAGTAGTCCACTGAGTAGTGGGTTGCTCTAGGCAACTAGTATTGCTACGAGTTGGGCAGACGGTCTGGAGAGGGCGTCAGCAATATTGTTGGCGCCGTTTTGTACATGATCTTCTTAGAATTACTGGAAAAGGTATTAAGGTGGAAATTAACGTGGATGGAAATTATTATGACCCATGTTCACATATTTCACACGTAAGTGTCTATTGTGCTGGATGTACGGCCTTTCTACATAGGGAGTTATATTTGTACCGCGGAAACAGAACCCTCTTGTCGTCATCTTTCCGTACCACCAGAATGACACGCGTGGCACGATGGCATCTTGACTGCCGTCACCCATGCTGCTAGAGCATGTTCCTACGCCCTCTTCCCAGCCAACCTCTTCCCAGACTTGCTCGCTACAGTGTCGCGTAATTGTGCCGCGAAGCAGTTTAGTGCGGTTCCGAGTGGTGAGACGCACGGTTGGGATTATCGAGATTCAAGGTGTGTTTCCAAACCTGATTTCAGGCGCGTATTTTTCAGACGAGCGCAAATGTGTACAGTGCGAGTTTGACGCGAGCTGATTTATTGCGATTGAGAAAGCGATTCTGAAACGAATTGGATTGGAAAAAGGTTCCTTCGATCACGCTCTTAATCGAGGGCCGATTCTGGGGAAGAGGAGGCTGGGAAGAGGCTCGTAAGAACACGCAGCGCCGACCTGCTGCCAGCACCAACCGTACAGTAAAAGCATCAGCAGCAGTTTCTATTCTTACACTGCAAAATCTGAAAACACAGCTGGGGGGGTCCTAAAATGTTAAATGCCAAAAAGCGGGTCCTCATGGGGTCTGCCAAAATAAATGATCCCACCCCCGGGTAAAGGACCCATGGACTTTCTTACCGACGGGTCCATTATCCAGGGGATTACGGTATGTGAAGTTGGACTCCAGATAGTCCAGCCAGCGTATCTGCTGCGGGTTGAGATTCGGCTGTGCTCTTAGGTACTGTAGAGATTTATGATCGGTTCGCACCGTCACGTCTGCTCCAGTCAGGTAGCACCTCCAGATTTTGAACGCGTGGACAATCGCCAGTATATCCTTGTCGTGTACCAGGTAGTTGCGCTCAACAGATTGCATTTTTCGAGACTCGTACACGATTGGTTGAAGACCATTGCCGAAATCTTGCATGAGCACGGCTCCGATGGCGATGTCACTTGCGTCGGTGATGACTTCGAAGGGCCGTTCTAGGTCAGCGATGCGAAGTACCGATGGCGACATTAAAAGATTTTTTAATGCCTCAAATGCAGCTTGCTACTTCTCCCCCCACTCGTAAAAGGTTCCCTTCTGCAGTAGGTCGGTTAGAGGTGCAGTTAATCCTACCATGTTGGGTATAAACCGCCGCACGTAATTCACAACCCCTAAAATGATTGCAGGTGCTGCAAATTTGTTGGCGGTTTCCACTCCTGAATAGCCCTGAGTTTTTTCGGGTATATTTGAATCTCCTCCGTGGAGATCACGTGCTCCAGGAACTCCAGTTCTTGTTTTAAAAACTCGCACTTGGATCCCTTAATGATGAGACGATGCTGCTGCAGCCGCTGAAAAAACGCTTCCAAGTCCTTTAAATGTTGCTCCCAGGTCTTGCTGTAAATTAGGATGTCGTCTAGGTAAATTATCACACATTTGTCGAGTACATCGCGGAACACCCCGTTCATGGTGAGCTGGAACGTCGAGGGGGCGTTCGTTAATCTAAACGGCATCACCGTGTATTTGTAACTCCCGTAGCGAGTACGAAACGCAATCTTGTGGCAGTCGTCAGCGAACACCCGAATTTGATGGTAACCGCCACAAAGGTCGATCTTCGAAAAGTAGCGAGCTCCGCGAAGGTTGTCAATCTGCTCGTCCGTGCGTGGGATTGGGTAGCGCGACTTTATCGTTACCCAATTAAGGGCACGATAGTCAGTAAACATGCGAAGTCCGCCGTCCTTCTTTGGGGTAAACAGGATCGGCCTGCGAACCGGGACGTGCTTGCCAGCAGGTAGTCAAGTTGGTTCAATAATTCGTATAGCTCCGGTTGAGTCAGGCGCCATTGAGTTCGTACAGTAGCCAGTGCACCGGGCTCCAGCTCGATTTTGTGGTCCTGGGGTCGTTCGGGTGGCAGTCCACTTGGAAAGTCGTCCGGGAAAATATCGGGATATTCCCGAATGAGTTTTGCCAAGTCATCCGGGGCCGAAGCGCATAGTTTGGTAATGTCGGTCGCCTCGTTCTGCTCCGTTGTTTCGGTTAGATGGATGGCGTATAAATCTGCTCCATTCTTGACCGCTCGCTTGAGGCACATGGCGTTGACTCGTGTCGAGGTTGTCTCTGCTTCCTGCCAACGATAAGTGTAGTCTTCGTGCTGTCTTTCGATTTATCAGGCTGTGACTCGCACCTCCGTCGATGAATATTTTTATTTTTCTTCCATTGAGTCGTCCCTCCGCCAGCACAGGGTGGTCATACCCCATATTCAGCCGGGAGCGGTTGATAGCATGTATCGGAACCACTTCTCGGTGGGGATGGTGTTTTTCGGGCAATGAGGCAGGGTCAGTAGGGGGCCCGACCGCTACTGACGCTTGGCGTTTCCCGGCCTGCATTCGTCGTTCTTCTTTATCTGCTTCTTTCGGGTGCAATTGTAAGTTTGGTGGCCCGGCTGGTGGCAGTTGAAAATTTGTCCCTTTCGAAAATCTTCCATGTGCTCCTTCGCCACTACGCCGTGAATCGTGGGCCGTGGATCCTGGCCACGAAAGCGTTTTTCCTCTTGGGAACCCGCTCTCGCCTACGTCCGATGCGCGTCGAAAGTGTTTGCGGTCCGAAATGCTTCGTGAAACGTCGCTGGTAGTCGCAGTCAAACGTCGCATTTAATGTCCTGCTTGAGGCAAAAAATGAATCGAGCCTTCTTCTCGGAGTCATGCATGTCGGTGATTTGTTCGCATAACGCCATGAAGACCGACGCGTAATCTTGGACAGATTTCCACTGGCGCCAGTGGTCCAGCTTTGTGCGTGCGTTGTCCGAGGCGGATATGGGCTCGAACCGTTCACGCAGAGATATACCCCACGCCTTTCACGTGCGAATCTTGGTCGATCCGAAAACCGCGGTTGACCATTGGGCAGCAGAAGTTTCCGAAAAACCCCTGTGTGTCGCTTGCCGAAAACTCCCCCTCCTGTAGTGTATATCGTCACCAATCTAGCGCAGGTCCCCG